AACTCAATCCTTGACTCACTTAAAATACTTCAAACAATTTAAAAACTATGTGTGTTTTATTTCCAAAAAAATACTTTACAGGCAAGAAAAAGGATTCATAAAATACGTATAGGTACCATATAGTACTTTGTGGTTTAAAAAATACACGTATACACACTTAGTATAAAATATGCGTTATTCTCATTGATGAAGTCAACAAATGTATAAGCACTGCTGTGTTATATACTCGTACATATAATCTTCATATTTTTTATTTAACCTATTACTGAAGTCTGAAGGAATCCTTCAAAATATGCAATGCTATTGCTTTACAGTTTGAAAACACCCGCATCACTTGTATATACGTACTCATATCAATAAAATATTTAAATGAATACTTAGAAGCACCTGTACAATATAATAATATAATGCCTACCAACTGTTTAATGGTTCACCAATAAGGGAAACAATCAAATAACAACAGTCCTATATGTGGTTAGGTTAGGTTATATAAGTTTTTATCTATGTTGTTGTCATTATTATTATTTTTGTTTAATCTACATTTAAATTAAATCTACCTATACCTATTGGCTATTATATATATATATGTGTGTGTGTGTGTATTTGAATTTGAATATCAAGAGATGATTATTTCATATTAAATAGATATCTAAAGTATTTTGTCGATTAATACTCTACAATAGTCAATAATACTTTTTTCATTAATACCAAATTTATTGTCTTATACTATAATATATAATATTACGAAACCTACCAGGACACTACCAAAGATGGTAAGACTAACAATAATAATGCTGGATTTTTTAAATATGATTTTAAGTTTTAAAATGTTCAACAATTTAACATATTGATAATATCATATAGGTACTATTATATAATATATACCTAACTGTAAAGGAATATTTTTTAGATAGGTATATATTTTTATTGTTATTTTTAAGACGGTAAACGGTATACTCGTAATAACATACAATTTTAAAATAATGTTTTGAATAAAATAAAAAAACTTCTATAAACTTATTTATGTTTTTTACTCCCGATATTATTACAGTACAGGTTATTATAATGGGTATTAACCAATTTTTATGAGTAAAATACCAAAAACGACAACTTATTAGTTATAGTTCAGATCTAAAATTTGGGGTGTAAATACCAAAACATGTTTACTACTGTATATTTAATTAAAAAAAAATAATATATTGATTGAATTTTGTCAAGAAAATATTTCAATCAATATATTACATATCATTATACTCATGCAAATGCCAAATACCATTCAAACAATTTTTAATTTTTCGGAAATTCGCGCTTAAAATAACTATAACATTTACTATAGTTTGATAAACGTTAGTTAGATTGATAATGTGGTAAGTACTATTAAAATATGATATATAATATTTTCTTATTTCGATTATAACATAATATTACACATGTGATCGAAACTAGGAAGTAATATAGATATTATAATATATTTTCTTCAAGTAGTTGGGGGGAGACAACAAGAGAATTTCTCTTAAGAATTTTTTTTTTTTTTTGGATTTAATAATTAATGAATGTTGAATTAAAATTATAACCTATCCTAACTTTTCATTCTTTGACGTTATCAGTTATACATTTTTTCAAACATCACTAATCAAATTCAATAATGTAAATCATTGTATAATCTATAACCGTGTTATAATAGTGAAAGTTTATTTATAAAAACACATTGAATTTTATAGTCTTGAGCCTTTTTTATATCATGCTCGTATTCTTATAATCATAGTTAAAAATATCTATTTGTATTATTCAACCAATAACCTATCAATCTATGTATTTGTCTAACTCTTTAAATTTTTTTCGCATTAAATATTGTGTTACTATAGGGTTGTTATTGAATTTGTTTTATATAATTTTATAGTAATACGATATTTATTTTAATATTTCGTCTCTTTCACTTCAAACTCGAAAATATTTTCCAGATACGTCACTGCGGTATTTAAATAATATTCACCAACATAATGACAACATTTATCAACATAAATAAATATTAATAGTCATGAATACGCCTATAGTGTACCTATAGTGTCTATATTAAATACATTTAATAATTTTACACTGAGCATTTATGTTTTTTAAGGTATGGTGATCTACGGGTAACAATTTTTTTTTTATTAAAAGCCTGAAAAAGAAAACTATGAACAAATTAAATGTATTGATAATAAAACCTATAATATATTTAAAAAAATTATATAATACAAAATAATTACCTATGCGTTTGGTGTTATTAATGCATGTGGTTAGAACTTATTTAAGAAATAAAATATACAGGCTTATATAATTGAATACTTTTGTGTATTTTGTTTATTATGATGTATACTAAAAAGTTATAGGTAGGTACATAATAAAATTAAAAACTTAAAATGAAATATATTCTACAATGCTCACAAAAAATACCTATTCATAGGTTGATAATGTTTTTTACTGTTTCAATTTTATTTTCGAAAAACTCGGGGTAAACATGGCCGGGCTCTATATATACTAAATTATACCTACAAAATAAATAAATTTACGAAACAATATTCTACATATGTTCTATACTGGTGGCATGTTTTGTTCGTGTGAGAATGAAAATGACAATAATTATATTATTACGGCAAACATATCACAATCACATGTGTAAGGCTGCACAAAAATCTACACCTCGCTGCAGTAATATAATAATATTGCATAAGAAGTGTCTCGGTCAACAATATATATATATATATAAATACATAATATGGTATAATACCAACTAATAGTTGAGTATTTAACAATAAGGATACTGTAGTCTATATACCGAGCACTTGCAGACTGCAGTGCAGTCGAGTGGAAAGCGCTCAGAAACAAGACTTAGAAACAGGACGTGTTGTTGTTTTTTGTATATTTTTATTTTCTATTTTTGTTTGGAGTGCATTATAATAATATGTGACTATGCCTCTATACATTTGTATATTATTATATATATATCTACGCTTAGTGTCTACGTATAGTACACAGGTGATTATTCTATCAAACACTTATTATTTTAAAACCTAATAACATTTTTTCTCACATTATTTCCTAGTCAAAATAAAACGAAATTTGAAATTTTATTTTAAATATTTATTATCGTTAATTATTTTTTAAGTTTTTACTATTTTTAATTTCATATTTTGAATCAGAATGTTTTTTTGCAGTATTTCTATTTATATAAAGCCTGGAATTCAGACCTGTAATTTATGAGTTATAATTGTTAAGTATTTTATGTTTAAATGATCGGAGTAGTAAACCAACATTGAAAGGATGTTATCCCCATTCTATTCCACTCACCTACTTTAAGTATTCATAAATTAACTCATATATACTATTTGTTCAAATTTCAATTTTTATGTATCGAATTACTCCGAAAAATATTCTGAAACTGAATATGAAAATAAAAATAATTGTCATTCAAAAAAATAAAAATACATTGTTTTATTTCAACTGAGGATTATGTAAAAAAAAATATTTTCAATAACGTTAATCAATTTTAAAATGATGTATTTTATTTGATAAAAAAAAAAATCAACCATTATAAAAGAAAAAAGAAAAAAAAAAGAAAACTGTCATAAATTAATGTTTATAAATTTCTACTATTGATTAAAAATTATATTTTAAAATTCAAATTCATTAACTTTTAATTAAAAAATATTCTCTCATAAAAATAAATGAATATGCATGTAGGTATACTTTATACGTAATTCACACATCATATTATAATTTATAAGCATTCAAATCTCAAATTAAAAAAAAATAATATATATATAATATATATTCAAGTTCCTCACAAGAATATATTACGCGTGTATAACATAATAGTAAAAGTTAATTAATCACCGAGTAAACGTTGCGCTCTACCTATTGTTCAGTCACTTCAATCATATATTTTATAAACAACTACAAAAGCTCGCACAGTGCAGCAATATTTTATGCATTTTTTTGAGGATCAAAACGAATTAGGCTGTGCACCATTAATTTTAACGAAGAATCGATCGGAGGTCTATTTTTCGCGGAAGACTTAAAACATGATATAACAACGGGTACATTTTGTTTGTAATAAATGCAAGTGGATTTTAATCGTCGGTGCAATATAATATTATTCTCGTCAAATCGAATGACTATATTATATTGGTAGAGCGATTTTAAATAATAGTAGGTGATATTATGCTATAAGTTATAGTCTATAACAATTATTATTGGACGTACCTATGTATGTATAGAAACAAACGGGCGGTATTATACAAATACCTGCAGCCGTACCGCACAACTGCATACACGATAATAATAATATTATAATGTTATTGTTATGACGTATCGTCATGTCGGCGACTTGCGGTCACAGATGTCGCGCGAATTATACTCGCATTGATGCGGCACGATGACCGGCGGTGTACACCGCGGACGTGATAGGCGTGTGTAGGCGTATGTGCTCAGTGCTCACTCGTACGGCAGGTACAATAATAATAATAATAATAATAATAATAATAATAATAATAATAATGATAATGATAATGATAATATAACAGTATAGCGCGCGTTACATGGCTGGTTATGGGAATAATAATAATATTATGGTGAAACTTATGTTGTGGCGGGAAAGAACTACTGAAAAGACGCGGGCGACCGGGCGGCAATAAAGTCGTCGACGTCCCCTGCCGCCGTCGTCGCCGCCGCCGAAACCGAATCCTCCCCCCACCGTCCCCGCGGCCGCGGAGCACCGGCGTGGGTGTGAGAGGGGGAAGGGGTAACGTGTTGCCTCGTGTGCGTGTGTACCCGACAGGTAAATGCGCACGCCAGAGCGTGTGTGTGTGTGCGTGTGTGCGTGTGCGCGCGTGTGGCACCTGTTGCGGGCGGCCCCGGCTCCGGGCCAATGGCGTGCGGCCCGCGTGACGGCGGCGGGGGAGACGGTGTTCCGAGCGTTTGGTTTGCCAGTGGACCATAGTACAGACCGGTACCTCCGCGCGCATAGTACCAGTGCCTAACCAGCGAGCACGGCGGACGACGGTCGTGACGCACCATCGGTAGACCATATAGAGAGCTTGCGATCGCGCCGGTGTGTGTGTGTACGTGTGTGTGGCGTGTGCGTGTGCGTGTTGCGGCGTCTGTGCTTCGATTGACTCGATCGCAATTTATTTATTTTTTCTCACCCGGTTCGCTTCTCCGCACCCGTGCGCATCGACGACGCTTCAGCCCTCCGGACCGCTCCACCGGATATCCACAATATCGATAATTCCGTACGCGCTAAACTTTCATAGATACGTATAATATTGTATAATAATCGCGGCGACGATTTACGCGACATCCGTCGTCGGCGCCGCCGTTCCCGTATTAAAATACTCAAATCGTCGATTTCGCCGTGTCGCTCCGTCAACACAAAATATAAAATATCGTATACTAATAATATTATCGTTGGCCGTTTACAAACTAGCGTGTGGCGTTTATTGTCCACCCTCTAGTTGTCGTCGACCGATTTCGCGGGCCCATCCGCCGATAAGTGCGCGTTCGAGTGAGCAGCTAACGTCCGCCACGGGACACGGGACCTGCCCCGGAACGAGCTTTAACACACTGCTTTTGGTGAGTAACTATATGTGTTGTCTATTTATATTTATAATATGCCCATTTGCATCTACCCGAGACTCGTAGCACGCGTCTGTAGTAATATTATTATATCAGACATTCTATAAAAATAATATTATAATTCAAGACACGTCATGTGGTTACTAGTACACCGACCGAGTAACTTTAACGCAGGTGAACGCTGGGAATGCATTTTTTCATAATCGATTTTAAAGCAATAATTCGTATACTTTCTTCGATAAACATTAATTTTATTTTTACCAAGCTATTGAAATTCAATATCAATAATATTTACTCAATCAAACTTTGGATGTAGCCTATAATAATATGCTTAATTTAATGATTTATAACTTAAAATAAACTATTATGACATTATAATTTATAATATAATATATAATTTTGATAAATATGTGCAAACACAGATAGAAAAAAAATAAAATCGTTTTGATTGTATCTACGGCAAACTTTACGTGCACATGTTTTCAATATTTTCCTACGACGGTTGCCCGTAAACACACTTCCTTTCCTCTCGTTTTCATAATATCCCACGGCCATTCGTTATACAATGCGTAAACATTATATTATACGTAAATTATAAATATATATACATATATATATATATAGTCATACTATTATAAGTTCATCGTGACACTGAGATGTTTTCATGTTATTATTAAAAAAAAAAACAAATACATTAACAAGCTTAAAACTGAATTAATATTTTCCCATGAAGTTAATAGTATTATACCTATATTTTAGTTATCATTGCTGCAATACTAATATTATTTACCTAATTAAGTATTACCTCAACTTCAACTGGCAACTGTTAAAAATCATGATTTTCAACACAGATAATTCATTTTTCTCCTTACATGAAATTTATTCGTTATTAAAATCCACTATTTACGTAATATAGATAAAGCGCATTCGCGCAAAATATTTTTTTTATGTTTTTAAATAATTCTATAACAAAATTATAAATCGCAAAAATTACAGAACATGATATTTTTGAGAGTATGATTATATCAGTTAGTTTAAATATTGTCTCAAAACAATTAAACATCCATTTAAATTCATATTTTTTTTTTTTTTTGTAAAATTTTAAATCCAATAATAATAAAATATTATATTACCGATATATCAAATTCTCAAAAATATTATTCTCTATAACTTTTGAAAAAAGTAATTTGATTTTATAATTTTTCTTAAAATCGTTAAAAACGATTTTACATTGATACGTTGAATCTATATTGCTCGTGAAGTCTGATAGAAAAAACAAATATGCTGAGATCTTCGAATACAAAAAAATTGTTTTATTATTCATAAATTTTCGGTTGAGGATAAAAATTATATGTGATATACTTATGTTTTGTATAATCAAGAATGATATAAATAAAATAAATTAGGTACATAATATACTTAATAACAATATTAAAAATATTCCAAAAACAATGACAAAAAAAGTAATTGTGTTTGTATTAATATTATATGGTTAAAAATATTAATTTTTTTATCATCAAAGGTTTCAGAACAGTAGAAAGAATTTAAAAATGATAGAAGTTTTGATGGAAAAAACAGTTACAATTAATCTTACTAAGTGTCACAGATTGAAGTACAGCTATTAAGTTAAGCGCTCTAGGGGGATTTTTCAAAACTAAATTTTGAATAACACAGTGAAATCTTTAATTATTATCCAACACTCTGGTGCTGAAATTTTGTCCGCTATTCAGATTTTAGAAGGTTCATTTTGCAGAAATATTGTAGTTTGTTCAAAAAAATTCTCCTACTTATAAATTTTCATTAAAGGAGGTTTTACTGTATTATTATATAGAATAGAATGAAGTTACGTATGTCATATATATTATTATAAATTATTATATATTATTTACAATTATATGTAAAAAAAAATGTAAATCTCATGATTTTTATTTTGAATTCCAATATCAGTCTATGTTTTATTTTAGCGTGTGTGCTTGTGATGCATAATTATGTTTTTTTTAAATCATTGTCCTCTTGATTATAAAAAAAAAAACCCAACAGACACAAACAAACAACGTGCGAGTGAATCCAACAGGTCGGTGCCCAGCTTTGCCGGGCCGCACGTTTATTGTTGTCGTTTCCGCCGATTACCATTCTTCTATCACACTCTGTATAACATATATATTTATACGTAAATTATTATTATATCGTACATCACTTATTTGACTATATAGTAAAATATATAAATTAAATTATCATATTGATACAATATACGTATAAATTGTAGGTATACGTAAATTATATATAAGTATTTAAAAATATATTTTTTATACACAGTACACAATTTACAGTTTCGTCATTCCGATAAAACTTTTCGGTAGGCAATTCAATAAAATTATAAGGTTATCTAAACATCGTGACAAACTCATTTTCAGCGTACACGCGTCACACAAACGCTCCACTTACGCAAATTCGTATACCTAATAGTTTTTTCGCACATTTTCCTACTATCTGCCTCTAATGAAAAACGGTGTCATTGACATTTCGACGGACACGTCACAACCCTTTTTGTCCCGGACTTATTATAAATATATCTGTCTATTTATATATTGTGTGTGCATATATAGTTTTGTGTCGTTATCAGAGTCGAACAGCAGCTGCTGACATTGCGCCTCGTATAGACATCAAGGACAACACAAAACGATAATAATTACGGGTTATACTGCTGATGACGGGTCCCCTAGTCATAGTTGTAGCCGTTGCCGTCAATCGTCTATACCGCACCCGCACCCGACGTCTGTACAATATATTATAATGATATTATATGAACACTATGGGCATAGGTATTATATATATAGCAATAAAGTAAAAACACTATAATTATTGTGCGCTACTGTGAGTTTTTTTACATAACACCCAGACGGCCGGCGTCGGCTGCAGTGCAGTTGTTTCCTAAATCTTGATTTAGATGTTATCTACGATTTGGGATCATAACATAAGTCACTAGTTCAATAATCAAAAGTCAAATTTTCCAGTTTATTGAACGACTATGAATTATTATTGAACGAACGAAACAAATTATTATTAAATCGTACATTTCAAATTATTTAACATTTTTAAAGTCGTTTTACTTTTGAATTATTTCAATTTTGATTTTTGAATATTTATTTATGTTTTTTTACTATTATTCTGAAAGTGTTTTGTACTTTTTCATTAGTTTATTAATCAAAAAAAAAATAAAAATAATTATACTAAAATTGGTGTTTATCTATCTTTTAAGAACTACACAAGTTTTATATTTTAACAAGCGTTTATATTTACTTATTTAAAAATATATAACAGTATAATTTAGAACATCCGTAGTTTTATAAAAAAAAAAAATAAATAGACAATTTATACACAAGTAAGTGAACAAAAAAAAGTTTTTATTAAATACTTTTTCATTTGCCAATAAAATAATTATTTTTCTTTTATGTTTCATTTAGTATTCCGTTATTTTAACTATTATAAGTTTTTAATCGTATAAAATTAATTATAATTTATCATAGAAAATATAAAACGTGTATCTTTTATGAAAAAAAAAATAAAAAATAGTTTTCATACTAGTATTAAAACATATTTTGATAAATAAAAACTTAATTTTGAATATTTTTCTTATTTTTTAATAGAATATTTTCGGTTTTTTAGAGAAAATTAATATCGTTTTGTTGAACCTTTAAAATCTGGACGCTACTTAATGTTTTACATAGTATCAATATTATTTATTTATGAAGTAGTATATTTAATTATTTTTGTTAAATATTGTTAGGTCGAATGTACTTTGTAGGTACCTACTTATAGATTTATTAAAAATATAGTTAATAAAATATTTTATTATTTATACATATGTAACTGTTTTATGTTTATATAATAATACATTATCAACACATGAGTTTTTCTCGATGAGGCCCAGATTTTTTTATAAGAAAATTAAACTAAATAAAAAAACATGATTTCATAATATTAATTTATTCACCTTTGTATTTTAATTTAATTTAATGTTTAAAATATGAAAATAATATTTGTAGAAACAGTTTTGAAACATTAACAAGTAATAACAAATTGACATATTTTAAAATAATACTAACACCTTTACATATCGTTGCATAAATCTTTCAAAATGATAATATACTTAAATATTTTATCATTGTTACAAATCTATTAAAATAAAATATAATAACATGTAAATAATTTTAAAAACAAAATATTACTTAATATTATTTATATTATGGATATTATTATTTGAGATTTGTATTACATATTTTATTAAATTATTTTATACAAAGAGGAATAATAAACAAAAAAAATTTGCATTTTCCCACTCATTATAAATTTAGGTACCTACCTACAATGTAAGTTTTATACATTTTTAAAAATATTTTTGTTTGTAAAAAAATAATAAGCTTGGATATCCAAAAATTATTCAATTAGGTATTTATTAAATTAATCATAAACTTTTAAAAATAGTCATTTTGATAAATGGGCGACGTACAGTGCGTATATTATGAAGGGGAAGAAAAAAATATCTCATGAACAATCATATAAGAACCCAATTGGTTGATTGGAAAAAAAGGTGTATAATAAAATGATATATAAAATAAATGTATAAACCTAACCTGTACATAAGAAGGAAATGAACGAGAAAAAACCTCAAGAGAAAGTGGCAGATTAAATTTTCCTACAGTGGAAACCCGTCCCAGATGGAAAATCCAATTAATTGCGTAACCATCAGTTCTTTTTCCGGTCATTCGTAACTGCAAAGATATATTTTTTATAAATATATATAAATTTATATATATATATATATACATATACATATATTTATCGATTTACATTATTACTCGACGTGGTTCATACCGTTTTATTTGTATCGCGGAAATCGTCGCGTGAAATAATATAATTTATAAGAAAATCACACAAATATATTAATATAGACTATTACATTTTTATTGTAGTAATAATACTGACGGGTTGGATAG